ACAATTGTACGGTTGAGATATATAAGTATTATATTAAAGTCATCGAAAGCATGAAAGATAGAGTCATCGAGAGCATGAGAGATATTACAACAATGCAGTCAGACACATTACATAGTAGCATTGCTCACCTCAGCCCAGCTTGGTGGTCCATGTGGAGAGAGGGGGAAGAGAGGGGAGCCAGAGAGTGTCAGGTCCAAGTCCGAGGGCTCTATATCGCTGACTCAGGCCTATATACCTTTTGGGGGCATGCCAGCCCACTAATTACAGGTAAAGACATACATCACAGGAAGGGGTTACACTATAGGTTACACAGCAATGAGGGGGTGGTCTCTGGGTCTCCATAGGAACATTATCAGTAGGATGAAAGCTCCGCCTACAGGAGCCTGTCCATTGTCCCCAGAGGCAGGGAGCAGGCCCACCCCTGTGGAGGGATGAGACAACAGTCTGGCAACTGATTGCCTTCAGGGGGGGAATGCCTGCTCATCTGACCTCCATCCACAGGTGGTCACCTTCTAGTAGGTGAAGGACAAGCGCTCTGTACTTGAACAATGCAGGTGTTCCCATGGTTCAGGCTGATGGCCTTCTCTTCCCTGGGTGTTCCAGGGCCTCCTTCAGATTGGACACAATGGAATGAAAGGAGGGCATCTTTGAGTGACTGGAAACACCTTTGAATCCAGTTGAGATGCAAAATCACAGATTACATGCTTCTGCGAGGCTATGGGTAAGGTGACTTTGCAAGGCAACTGATTTTAGGCATTTTCGTTGCCTGGAGACTTGCCCTGGGCTCAGGACTTCCAACTGTTCTTCCATGAGTACTGCTTGGTAATTGGGATACCTGAGCACATACCCACAACATTCATTGGACTTCAGGAGCCCTGGAGGTGATCTGCTGATTGTAGTCAATGATTGAGACCCACGGGAGAAAGGTGGGGTGATCAATTCCTGTGAAGATTTACAGGAGCCCTCTCTCAGCTAACTAAAAGTCAGAATCAACTAAACTCGATGGCAGTGGGTTCATTTTTCGGTTTTGCTTAGGGAGCAAGTTTCACAAACAGGCCAACTGATGAAAGAAGGCAACTGGGTTTGGGAACTGCAGTACTAGGTTCTCATCCTTGTGGGTAGAGGGACACAGATCCTCTTAGACCGGCCCCAGCTTGAGAAAAGGAGGCACTAATCACTTCCAGGAGCAAGGCACACCCCACCTCCAGCTCCTGAGGGCCACCCAGTCCTGACTCCACAGCTTAGCCCTACCCTCCCTGCCAGGTGCTAGACTGGAGGGTGTGGAGTCTGAGAGGGAGCAGGGTGGCTCTGGGAAGCAGACAGGGCTTCCTGCAGGCGGATGGGCACGGGGCTGCCCAGCCATGCACTGGGCACGCTGGCCAGCATGGCTGTCAGGCCGGGGGCTGCCGCTGTTGGGGGTAGTGCTGCAACAGGAGAGAGAGAAGAAGGGACCTCGGTGGAGGCACTGTTGGGTAAAGTACCAAATCTCACTGGGAAATGTGGCCTGGAGAGATCTTGAGGTAGCTGGTCCCCCCATCCCTTTAACTATTAACTATTAACTGTAGCCCTGAGATTGGGTTTAATCTGGGGTGGAGCCTATTTGTTCTGGACAAACCTCCAGGGCTGAGATCAGGGCACTCACTGGCCAAGACTGCAGCGCCCAAACCTACTCAGCTAGTGAGTGGAGGGCGAGGCCACACTGGGCTGGTGTGTGGGTGTGTGGTTGTGTCTCAGGATGCCTGAATCTGGCTGTGGAGTCCAGTGGGGGTGTGAAACTTGCTGGGATTTTAAGGGGGTAGTTTCACTCTGTGGAGTTACAGAGAGACCCAAACGGTTCAATACGCCACCACTTGCTCCAAGGGCGATTGTTCTAAGCCCTCCTGTAAATCCAAAGGAAGTCAGTCTTGAGCACCAACCCTGTGGAGTGCAGTTCCTCTCTGATCCACGCGGGGTCACTGTGACAAGCTGGGTAGCTCTTGGCTTTTCTTCAAGGGCCCACCGCCTCCTGGGAGGGTGTTTTGTTTTTGCCTGGGAGCTGGGGGAGGGGTGGATCTAATCTCCCTAAGCTTCTAAACCCCCCTCCCCATCCTGCTTTCAAGCCACAGCATCAGATGGGGTTGTATGTACATTTGGAGTGAATGATCACCAGCCGAGACTACAGGGTACATATGCTCACGTAAAACTCACCAAGGCTTAGACTATCGTCTGGGTTCCCCTTTGGCTAAGGTGACCAGATTTAAAGCGGGACACCATTAACGGGGGGCGGGGGAGGGTTTGGGGGTTTCTTGATTAAAAATTTGGTCTATATGGACCAAATAGACCATTCCTTAGCTTGTCGTGCATTCGTTCCAAAAATCTGGACTTTTTAAAAACACCAAAAATCGGGACTGTCCCGCCAAAAGTGGGATGTCTGGTCACCTTACCTTTGGCAGATGAGAAAATAGAATCGCAGAAGAATGATGGTCAGGTGGCTCACTAGTGGCTGGTGGAATCAAGACTAGATCCCAGGCCTGACCGATTCCAAGGTTCAGGCTCATCCCCAAGGCCATGCCTAGGTGCTCCAGGTCCCTAGCACCACCACACCCACGACTCTGGGCCAGGCTGCTCTGTGGTGGGGGCAAGGTGGGGGAGGCCTGAGTTGGACCCTGCTTCAGGGAGGAGGGGGAGCCCAGGTCTGGGTTGGTTCTTGGTTTCCGGCAGCTAAGCCCCCAGAGCTGTACCGTTTCAGTTGGAAGCCCACCCTTACTACGACCTCCAGGTGAAGGTGCTACGGGCCAGAAATATCCAGGACTCTGACCTGCGTGAGTGACCCCCATGGCCACCCCCCATTTCCGGTCCCGGGGTGGGGTGGGGACACAGGGACTGTGGGAGCTCAGGCTGTCGCTCTGGGCCGGTGGCTGGAGTCCAAGGGGGGTGCCGTGCAGACCCCTCCTTCCTCTCTCGATCCGGGGCCGGGGGTGACTTTATTGTTTGAGTCAAACCATTTCTAGGAAGCAGCCCTCGCTCCCAGGTGACAGCTGCAGGACTTCTGGCTTTGTAACTGACTGGGTGTGACTGGTCCAGGCGGAGTCCCCAGTGTTCTGTTTCCCCGGTACACCCCAGAATGGAGGTTCAAAAGCCTCACTGCCATCAAGTCGGCTCTGGCCCATAGCAGCTCTGTAGGACGGGGGAGAACTGCCCTGTGAGTTCCTGAGACTGGAACTCTGCACAGACGGGAGTAGAAGGCCTCATCTCTCTCCCTTGGAACCGCTGCTAGTTTCGAACCAGGAACCCACTTCATATCGCTAACTGTTCTACTTCGCACCTCCCCCAAACGGCCCCCCAACACTCCCAGC